ATATTATAAGTAATAATACCTGCAAAGTTAGTTTTTGTCTGAAGGTGTAGGTATCAATGGTGGCAAATTTTCAGCTTCTAGAACTGGTGTTGAGGTTGATCCAACTAATATGTTTTATTTGATATTAGTTTCTTTCCAAAATTTGCTTTATCGCACAGACATGCAATTACATACATGCAATAAAAAATTGACAACCTATTGTTTAAGTTTAGAATTACCACCATATATGTAAGATAAAGATTGCCTAAATTACCAAATGCACATAGATTGAAAAGCTGCCAAGTTATCTGACTACAATCTGCTATGGTTCATCCTTTTTTTTCATGTTATAGGTACTTCAGCTATGAGCTAGCTGTCGAAAATCTTTTGGGTTAACAACTTTTTGTGCATCAAGCTGGGGCTCAAGTATTTTGTGAGTGGCAATAATAATTGTGATTTGAAGTGCTTGGATTGGGCAGCAAGCTAGTGCTGAAAAATGGGTCATTGCTTGGGGCTATAGCTGCAGCCTGCAGGATTGGCTCAGCTGAACACAACTCATCTGTGCAACAATGGAGTTTTTTTGAAGTGACCAAGAATTATGCAGCAAGACATCAAGTGTTGGTTATTATTGTGCAGCAAGACATTGAAGTACAGCAAGACACTGAACTTAGCTATAGTGCTGGAGTTTGATGAACACACCATTTTTGTGCAGCAAGACATTGAAGTGCTGAAATGGAACTTTTGTGCCTGAGTCATCATATTGGACTTCTAAACTTCAGCAGCCATAACCATTTATCACAAGACTGTGTTAACTAGTGCATTAATCCAAAGCATAGTGATAAAAAGGGCGTACCCAGTGCAGAGAGTTCCCGCTCTGTGCAGGGTCTGGGGAAGGGTGTTAGTGGCAAGCCTTATCCTCGCTTGTGCAATGCGAGGAGACCGCGACTCGAACCCGGGACCTTTCAGTCACAGGCGGTAAGACTCTCCTGCTTGCACCAGGCCCGCCCTTCAATCCAAAGCATAGTGATGTTTAAATCTTTTCCTTTTTATTTGACTAATTGCACCATAGCTTGTGACCGTTTAGTATACGTCTGTTTGCTATCCAAATCCAAGGTAACTCATATGTAATGGACCTGTGTATGTGGCTGTATGGCTGTGACTATTTGACTTGCTGTCCACTTGATGTGTATCTCCAAGATCTAATATATATTTTATCAAATCAATGAAATCAAGTGGCTTTGAATATGTGTTGTGTTCTCTAAAATAAAATGAGTTTATGGAAATATTTGTATTATATTAATATTAATATTTATTATACAGTGTTGCCGACAGTTAAATTGCCACTGAGGGCATCTTTCCAAACATGCTGCGGCAAACTGTCGGGAAAGAGACTAACAGTTGGCGTAGGTCTTAACTGTCGGTGTGATCTAACTATCAGGAAAGGTTTCAACTGTCGGCGTAGCTATACCATTTGGCTACACCTTAACTGTCGGGAAAACTTTCGCGAACTGCTTTTAACGCGACTGTTTCGAAACTGTCGGCAAAACTTTTGGTGGGAGGCTATTTATCGGAAAAGGTACCCTTTGCCTATCTAAAAAGTGTCGGCAAAGATAGATTGTGTTACAGTGAGAGTGGCACAACACGTGTGCTTAGGATTACATGGCGGCGTGTCCAAGCGTGTGCATTTACTTATTAGGCCATATACCAAACAGTATACTATATATAGATTGGCTGTGCAGCTAGCGTCTACCAAAGGACAACATATATACTTGCATGAGAATGAAAACGTATATATAGGAGTATTATTAAGATGACGGAACGTAGTAATTATTATATAATCATCATGCTATTGCATGGTGGCTTGACCTTTTTTTTTTGAAGCGAAATGATGGTGGTTTGACGCTTGGCGTATGCAATGCAAGGACCGCCGTCAATTGTATCGTGGGGCTGTGCGTTCCCCTGGCCTCGCCGCGTTGGTCGATCGTCTCCTCCCGTATCCGCATGCATGCATGCAACCAATCAACGGCCGGCCAGCCATGGTCTTCGCCTTGCTGGCTATAAGAGGTCGCGGCCATCCCTCCCTTCCCCAGTTACTAGCTCGATCGATCGATCGATCGATCCACGCATACACATGCACCTTTCATTCAATTAGTTTGTTTGTTTCTTCTTCATTCCATCGTCCAATCAAATTAGATCAACATGAGCAAAGGTGCTATCATCGGCGCGTCGACCGTCCTGGTTGTGGCGGTGGTCGCCGCCGTGTGCGTGGTGTCCTTCAAGGGCAACTCCAGCAAGGGCGAGGGCGACGAGAACCTGTCCATGTCCGTCAAGTCGGTGAAGGCCTTCTGCCAGCCGACGGACTACAAGCAGACGTGCGAGGCGGAGCTGTCCAAGGCGGCCGGCAACGCCAGCTCGCCGTCGGACCTTGCCAAGGTCATCTTCGGCGTCACCTCCGACAAGATCCACAAGGCCATCAGCGAGTCGGCGACGCTGAACGAGCTCAAGAACGACCAGCGCACGTCGGGCGCGCTCAAGGACTGCAATGAGCTGCTGGAGTACGCCATCGACGACCTCAAGTCCTCCTTCGACAAGCTGGGCGGCTTCGAGATGACCAACTTCAAGAAGGCCGTGGACGACCTCAAGACGTGGCTCAGCGCGGCGCTCACGTACCAGGACACCTGCCTCGACGGCTTCATGAACGCCACCTCCACCGAGGCCTCCGCCAAGATGAAGAACGCGCTCAACGCGTCGCAGGAGCTGACGGAGGACATCCTGGCCGTCGTGGACCAGTTCTCCGACACGCTGGGCGGGCTCAGCATCGGCCGCCGCCTGCTGGGAGGCGACGGCGAGGTCACGCCCAGCTGGGTGTCGGAGGCCGACCCCGGCAGGCAGCGGCTCCTGGCCGCCGCCATCCCGGCCGGGTCGCCGGACTTCAAGCCCAACGTGACGGTGGCGGCGGACGGCAGCGGCGACGTGAAGACGATCAAGGAGGCGCTGGCCAAGGTGCCGCCCAAGAACCCGTCCCTGTACGTGGTGTACGTGAAGGCCGGCACGTACAAGGAGTACGTCTCCGTGGCGCGGCCCCAGACGAACGTGGCCTTCATCGGCGACGGCGCCGAGAAGACCATCATCACGGGGAACAAGAACTTCAAGATGAACCTGACCACCAAGGACACGGCCACCATGGAGGCCATCGGCAACGGCTTCTTCATGCGGGACATCCGGGTGGAGAACACGGCGGGCGCCGAGAACCACCAGGCCGTGGCGCTGCGCGTGCAGAGCGACCAGGCCGTCTTCTACCAGTGCACCTTCGACGGCTACCAGGACACGCTGTACACGCACGCGCAGCGGCAGTTCTTCCGCGACTGCCGTGTCACCGGCACAATCGACTTCATCTTCGGCAACTCCCAGGTGGTGCTGCAGAACTGCCTCATCCAGCCCCGGAAGCCCATGGCGAACCAGGCCAACATCATCACGGCACAGGGGCGGCGGGACAAGCGCTCCGTCGGCGGCACCGTGCTGCACAACTGCACCATCGAGCCGCACCCGGACTTCAAGGCGGACGCCGGCGGGAAGATCCCCACCTACCTGGCCCGCCCCTGGAAGGAGTACTCCCGGACGCTCTACATCCAGAACGACATCGGAGGGTTCATCGACCCCAAGGGCTGGCTCGAGTGGAACGGCGACTTCGGGCTCGAGACGCTCTTCTACGCGGAGGTGGACAACCGCGGCGCCGGCGCCAACATGAGCAAGCGCGCCAAGTGGGGAGGCATCAAGACCGTCACCTACGAGGAGGCGCAGAAGGAGTTCACCGTCGAGACCTTCATCCAGGGGCAGCAGTTCATCCCCAAGTTCGGGGTGCCATTCATCCCAGGATTGCTGCCGCAGGAGCAACAAGGCAGGACGCACTGATCAGTGACCATCCATTCCAGGATCACTACCGTGCATCAGTTGGACTGGACCCTTTGTTTGTGCTTGTGCTTGAGCGAATGACCCCCGGCCCAGCCCACTAATATGTCCACTGTACTGTAGTATTTAATTTCCCAGTCTTTTTGTTTGTTTTGTCAATTATTAATTATATATATTCATTCGACACTTCTATTTTTAGTATACTGGAAGCATAGACCACGCGTTGTCACGGGAATTGCGGATTATTGAATTGCGTGGTATGATGACGTGGACAACAAAATGCTTACGTGTTTTGATGACGTAGACATTACGGTTGCATGTGCTAGTGGATTTTAATTTTATGTGATAGTGCATTGCCTAGTTGCATAGCTTGCATGTTGAAATAAATAGTTAGTGGGGTTTTGCTTAATGGATTTTAATTGTATGTGGTAGTGCATTGCCTACTTGGTTGTACTCAAATGTAGGTTCATTTATCATTTTCCTAAATCAATATTATATAGATTTTGACTAACCAAGTCTATATGAAAATAATATTAACATACACAATGCTGAATAAATATAGTATCAAAATATTTTTCTCTGGTGGATTTAGCAGAACCAATTTTGTTATGTAGGTGTTTTTTTGTATTATTTTTCAATGGCTTGATTGAAGTTAGAGAAAAAATAACTAAAGGATTTTTTCCCCTGTGAAATTAGTACGTTTAAAATGGGCCATTATTAAGCCTAGCGAGAGAGAGAGAGGTAGGCCATCGTGATCATAAGACGGCACGCAATTGCCGTCCGGAACTAAAATCCATGGATTAACAACAATGTGGGACGGCCAACCAAATTAACTTTTGTCGTGAACAATGTGAGACGGCACTCACGAGTCACGACCTGAGACTGAGAATAATGGTATGCTGCCAATAAACTGGAATTGGTGGCGAAAGAAACATCTGAAGACGGCAGCGCCATCGGCGGCAGGCAGGGGAAGACGACAAGCCGGCGCCGGCCGCTTCCTCCGCTACAAAAAGGTCCCGCTCCCACCACCACCAACACCACGGCAGACGGCCGCATCAGCGCGATCGCTGCCCGCCCCGCTCCTCCACCCCCTTCCCACCGCATCACATCGCATGCTGCTGTCGCGTCCCCAAACCCTGCCCCTGCCCCGGGCCCGGCTTTCCTCCCCGACCCTTCGCCACCTCCGCGCCCTCGCCGCGCCGCGCCGCGCCATCGTCTCGTCCCCGCCACTAGGGTTCGCGTCCGCGGCGCGAGGGCTCGCTCCTCTCCGCCTCCGCGCGGTGGTGTCTGACCACGAGCAGCGCGGGATGGAGGCGGGGGAGCAGGGGAGGCCGCTCCGCGTCGGCCTCGTCTGCGGCGGGCCCTCCGGCGAGAGGGGCGTCTCCCTCAACTCTGCGCGCTCGGTGCTGGATCACATCCAGGTATTGCACGCGTCTGTTTCGCCTCGCTTGTTCTTCATACTGATAGTCTGATACCGTTGCCGTTCGTGGCGCGCGGGTTTGAATTTGACCGGATACATAGCGACGCGTTACTGGGAATTTGAATTGGAGCTGCCGCTGCTTTGACTTTTGAACTACACTACATTTTCTGTGACACTATCACACTAGTGTGCTCTGCTTTGACTTAATTCACTGCGTGTTGGCTCCGGGTCTGCGCCGCCCGCCAGGAGTCACTGACTACTGTGATCATCAGCCGGAATCCATCCTGAGCTCACTCATCATTTCTGCTAGGAACAAGTAGTAGTACGTTGAACTGCATGCGGTCTGTATAGTGTGCACCATCACCATTCGCGCCTGTGTGCTGTCTCGTCCCCCCTCCCCCGTGATGAATGTGGGAAGTGCCAGTCAGTCAGTCACTTCCTTGCTGAATGCTGATGATATATAGTAATTGTCATGGTCCGATACAGGGAGAGGATTTGGTCGTCCGCTGCTACTACATTGACTGTGCCATGAAGGCCTTCGCAATTTCTCCTGCGCAGGTGACCTCACGTGCTCGGAATCTCTTGTTTGTTAATACTATAATATCTATAATATCTATATGTAAGCTGAATATACTCTGGTGGCTGTGCTGTCTGTGTCATTTTTTTAATTGAGTTGGTCACGCACAATTTTTTTTATAGCAACTCCCCCTAGTTGCTTGTTTGTTATGTATAGAGAGATCCCTGATGGAGGAATCAAGCTCTGCTCAGCTTAGCTAAACAACTGCCTCGCTTCGTGCGATTCCAATGTGCTCAGCTTATATGGATTCATGCACCTCCACTGGGGATAGTTACTTATATGGATTCATGCACCTCCACTGGGGATAGTTACATTTACTCGAGCCAATTTTAATACATTGTGATACGATAAAGGTTCCCTTGGTTGAATTTGGGTTAACAATTGCATGTTCCTAAAACTATATCTGTAAACTATATCTGTAAATTATGAGGACATTAAGAGCCTCACCAATCAAATAAATCAGGTGGGGAACGCCTCCCCCCCGTTGACCGTCAAAAAAAAAAATTGCATGTTCTGTTTTGCTGAAACTAGTACCCAAATGACAAAGCCTTTTATCCTTTATAAAGTTGTTTGAGACATGTACTTCGGTTGCTAGTTGCTACTTTATGAACTCATATTCAGTTAGAGTAAAATAACTGTTTCACATGTTTTGCCCCACAGCTATATTCCAACACACCTTCGGATTTTGACTTCAAACTTGAAAGGTAAACCAGTTGACAGCCAATTTTTGTTCCTTGCTAATATTATCATTCCAATTTTTTTTTCATTTTTAAGCTTCACTTCTGCAGTTTAGCCCAAGGATTTGACTCCCTATCTGACTTTGCGGAGCATCTTGCCACTAATGTTGACATTGTCTTCCCAGTGATCCATGGGAAATTTGGTGAAGATGGTGGCATTCAGGTTTGTTCTTACCAGTGAAATCTGGTTTACAAGTAAAAGATATCGATTCATGCTTGTTGATTCTGAGTTTCACTTGGCATCGCACTAGCTATAGTATTTGAATGGCTCTTAGCTGACCGCTGTTTACACCCTTACCTCCTGTTAACTTAATATGTGTGGGTGTGACATCCATATGTTCGCAATCTCTTTGAAATACTCAGGAGCTTTTGGAGAAAGCAAATGTTCCATTTGTTGGGACACCCTCTAAGGAATGCCAGCGTGCTTTTGACAAGGTACATTGTATGTTTCTTTCAAGATTGCTCTTGACAAGATATGTCATCAAATTCTCCCTACCATCCTTCTATGTAATTGCATACTTGGATGCAAGACCACTATTCAGTACCATCCCCAGCATTTTTCTGAATTGATGGGAAAGTGTTCTAGTATTATTCGTGAAACTTGTTTGCTGATTATGGATATTGTGGAACTTACTAGGACAAAATGTTCCATGTATTGACTATTGAGCAAGTGGAGTTTGTGAAATGTTATCTAGTGAGCAGGTTAAAAGTATTGCTACAATGTACAATCTTCTAAAGATGCTCTTGTTTTTTCGCTATTGTAACTTGTAATTTCATTTAATGTCAGCGGATCCATTTATCCAGTTCCTGATTTTAGTCTTGAACATGACTGCAGCATAATGCATCGCTTGAGCTCAATGCACAAGGTTTCTTAACAGTGCCAAACTTTCTTGTGGAGGTAAGGCTTGTTTGTCATTTCATAGTGCCCTCAATGTGATACGCACTATCTTTATCTTTATTAATGAGCATAATATGTAATTTAGTTGAGAAACAGGCATTGAGAGTCAATTTTTTTGAATCTTTGGCACTATGGTTTTTTTATGCTACATATATCTGAAAATAAGTTTTGGTTTAATTATTCTGCTTCCTCCAGTGGACTGAATCTTAATTAATACTTGGAAAAAGGAACAAAAGATTTTCTTGTCTGTCACAATATTACCACAATAGCTAAGAAAAAATGGGAGTGTGATTACTAATTCTGTTGCTCTTCTTCTGGTGACCTGATCATGTATGCTGCAATTGTGTCTATGACAAAGCAGAAGGACAAGTTGGCTAAGCTGGAGTTAGAGGCATGGTTCCAAACCGTCAATCTGAACAAAGAAAATGGCAAAGTGATTGTAAGTGATAGTGTTTTACTTTAGTAAAGATTGTTTTCAGGGTTGGATTGGTGAAGGGGTAACTTCTGATGTGCTTGCACAGGTGAAACCTACAAGGGCTGGGTCAAGCATTGGCGTGGTTGTTGCTTATGGTGTGAATGACGCTGCCCAGAAAGCTGAGGAAATTATTTCAGAGGTGCAGAATACTTTCTACTATACTTCTGGAATCATTCAAGTTAAACACAGTAGTAATTTTGAGACCTGAAATCCTATGCTGATTGACAGGGAATTGATGATAAAGTTATCATAGAGGTTTTCCTTGAAGGGGCACTGAGTTTACAGCCATCGTGGTTGATGTAGGGACTGCTAACAACAGTGAGCCTGTTGTTCTGCTTCCAACAGAAGTATGATACATATCTTCGTTTGCTTCTCTCTCTTATTCTGTCATGCTGGAGACATTGTAACAACTTGACCAAATATTCTGGATGGTTCTCTTAGGACAAAAGAAATATGCTGTTATCTATTGGTAACTTTAAATTAAATGTGTTAGAGATCCTGAATTAACCTATTTTATTTTCCTTTCCGTTTTGCAGGTTGAGCTTCAGTACTCCAACAGTAGTGATACCAAGGAGGACACAATATTTAACTACCGCAAGAAGTACCTTCCAAGTCGACAGGTATATAGCCCAGACTAAAATACAAGTTCTAGGGGTCATTTGTGCAAAACTATCGGTTCCTTTCTGTTGATCTCTGCTTCTTAAGTCCTTCTGACTCATTTGAAACAAACTTATAGAACTTCCTGTGTCAAGGCCTCGGTCAAATAATTCCTTTTTTTTTCACAAGCCTGGTTTTCTTACACAAAAATCAATTCAAGCATTCTTTGATCTCTTCCCAGGTTGCTTATCATTCGCCTCCACGTTTTCCAGCAGAGGTGATCGATTGTATAAGACAAGGAATTTCTCTTTTATTTTGTCGCCTTGGCCTGCATGACTATGCAAGGATAGATGGTTGGTTTTTACCTTCTCCTGTTGCTTCTTTACCCTCAGCTGAAAATAGTGAAAAATTTGGAAATACCAAGTATGGAACTGTTCTTTTCACGGATATTAATTTGGTAAGCATACTCTTGTTGCTCTTTGTTCTCAAGTTTGGATCATGTCTTGCAGTTTCTAGTGCATGATACCTGTTGTATTCTCTGTAACAGATAAGTGGGATGGAGCAAACCAGCTTTTTGTTCCAACAAGCTTCAGCGGTAATAATAATATGGCATCACACACATTGTAATTTGGCATTTCTGATTTCTGATTCTGGAGAAATTCTTATTTAAATAGCATACATGATCATCCCTGCTATCTGTGCATCTTTTCTTCATACTGTCAACCATTGAGGATATTTGTATTTTGGTATGATATGCAGTATAAATTAGTTTTGCTAAAGGTTTTTATACCCATTATCATGCTGTTACATAAAGTAAGTATCATGCAAATACTTTTGTGCCCATAATGCTTAATTTCGTTACTAACTTCAGAACCAAAAACAACACTTTTCAGGTTGGGTTCTCTCACTCTCGAATCCTTCGTACAGTTGTTCAGCATGCTTGCTCGCGATTCCCTTCTCTTGTTCCATGCAATAATGCTTGGACCACTTTGTCCAGAAAACTACAACCATCGAAACAAGTAGAAGCAATTCACAAAGGTACATCAAGACAGAAGGTTTTTGTGATCTTCGGAGGGGACACTTCAGAGAGGCAAGTATCACTTATGAGTGGTACCAATGTCTGGCTTAATCTCCAAGGTTTTGATGATGTGAGATCTCTTGCTTTCAAATATTTGACTTTGCATATTCATTGTGTTTCTATTCTCATTTCTTGGTGCCTCCGCATTGTATTTATAAAATTTCTGGCCATGCTGGTCTAGAATTTGTTGCCATTATCTTGAAACTGTATGACATACCATACCATGCTTTAAGCTTGATATGATACGATACCATGTTTGTTGCCTAGGTAGCTATGTTCTATTTTCGTGCATCGATATTTTAGATTTTTTCACTTCTGTTGCTTTCAGCTTGACGTGACACCGTGTTTGCTTGCTCCTGCAAATGGATATTTCTCCTCCCATGATCAAGATTTCAGTGACAGTTCAAGAGAAGTTTGGACGTTGCCGTAAGTGTTGCATCTCATTGGATCTTCTGGATAATATTGTAGTTATGCACCGTAACATTTACTTGGTAAAATGACTAAACTTGGCGTACATTATGTGGCAGATATTCATTAGTGTTACGACATACCACTGAAGAAGTTCATGCTGCATGTGTTGAGGCAACTGAGCCAGAACGAGTTAAAATAACAAAACGTTTGCGTGATCAAGTAATGAATGAACTTGGGCCAGCATTGAGCAAACATGATTGGTTTGCAGGCTTTGACATCGCTTATGAACAACCTATCAAATACTCTCTGCAACTGTGGATCAACCATGTAAAAGAAACTGAAGCTGTAGTCTTTATAGCAGGTATTTTCCAAAAAATACTAATCTAGTCGAACTTCTATGCATGCTATTGTATAATGTTCTAACTATTGCAAAACAATACGATCAGAAATGCATTGCATGTAATATTTCAGGAATCAATGTACCTCAAGTTCCAATTATTCAATTATACTGGTCCTGTTCTTAAATTAAACCAAACATATAATTAGTAATGACACTATTACAGATGGAGAGCCTTTCGCCTGACTGTTGCATTTATAATATACATCTGTTCCTTACTGTTTCTTTTTTTCTTAGGTGTTCATGTCCTGTGTGTCATATGTAGTGCATGGTGGCATTGGAGAGGATGGTACCATTCAGACATTGTTGGAATCTGCAGGAGTTCCTTACACAGGTTCACTTTTAGCTTATATATAGCGAGTATTTGTATGTGGCCAAACTAAAGAATGTAAAAGCTCTTGTCATGCAGGACCAGGACCAATAGCTTCTAGAACATGCATTGACAAAGTTGCAAGTTCACTTGCTGTTGACCATGTATGAACCTTTTGTAACTTTTACTCTTTTACGGGTTCCTATGGGTATTTAAATATTTATTTCCTTGCATGAATATAGAATGATATTCCATGATGTCACTATGACAGAAACAGCTTAAATCAACTTGTTAGTAACACAACATTTGCTCACCGAAAAATTCTGTCCACTGTGACCATGCCAAAGAAGTTAACAGTATTTGTGGTACTTGTGTAGCTTGCTAGTTATGGAGTCCGTACCATTCCAAAGGATGTAAGAGCAACAGAAGAAGTACTGAAGTCATCTCTTGTTGATATCTGGAATGAACTTAAAGCAAAACTACGAACAGAAACAGTATGTGTGAAACCAGCTCGTGACGGGTGCTCGACTGGTGTAGCAAGATTGTGGTAAGAATTTACTTAACTCTAGTCCAGTGTTTTAGTTATTTAACGGTGATGTATCTCGTCTTTGTTTTATGCATGGATCATTAAGAAAACACTATCTGTTTTCAGCTGTCCAGAGGACCTAGAAGTCTATACAGATGCATTGAGGAGGAAGTTTCAGCATCTGCCTGCTAATTGCCTGTCCAGGGTACCAAAGACAACCTAACCATGTTTTTGTGCCAATCGAGGAACTATGTCTGCCAGTGGTCAGATACACTTTTAACACTAAGCTATATTTTATAGGCACATGGCGTAATTGAGATGCCAGTCCCTCCTCCAGAGTCACTAATATTTGAGCCTTTTATTGAAACGGATGAAATTATCATTTCAAATAAATTGGAGAATGGTAGTGCTCGCCATCTGGTATGGAAGGGTGAAAATGACTGGCTTGAAATAACTGTTGGTGTAGTTGGCAAGCGGAGAAATGCACTCGTTAAATCCAAGTATCACAGTGAAAGAAAGTGGTGATATTTTATCTCTTGAGGAGAAATTTCAAGGTAAGTATCATGCATACTTTGCAGTTTGTAGTATTTTCCTTATTTATTTATGATCTCACAATTAAAGTTGTACCAGGAGTTGCTATTGTGAGTGTCTTTTTATATTTAGTTTAAATAGTTGTTGGCATGGCATGGAAATGCAATATGCCATTGAGGTAAACTTTGACTTGGGACAGATGAGGGAAAATAATTTCTTGTAGAACATCATGTATGCCTTCTCCATATCGTTATTAGCATCAAACACAATATAGCTAACCGTGTCTGTCCTAGCTTATATATGTTTAAGTTTTATCGCTGGGCCCTCTTAAGCCATTTTTCGCAACATGATTGAGGTGTTTTTTTTTTCAGGTGGCACTGGAATCAACCTGACACCACCTCCTGCAACAATTATGGGGTACTTATTTATGACTATTCCCAGTTTCCCTTTTTTCTTTTAAATAACAGTAGAATTTTCAACTGGACAGAATCTAGATTCTAGAAGCTTACTCACATGTCAGTTCTGTTTTTGCCGGCGTCACCACACCAGCTGCCCCCTGATTCATCTCAGCATCATGCCTTACTAGTATCATTTGTGAGCATATCTTTTGGCTTTCCTTTTGTAGCAAGGATGCTCTGCAGAGGTGCAAGAAGAGTATCGAGATCATGGCAAACGCTCTAGGTTTGGAAGGCTTCTCACGCATTGATGCATTTGTCAACGTGCGAAGCGGGGAGGTATGAATGTGAAATGTTGTGCTCAAATGAAGATGATAATTATTACTCCTAGTTGTGATATTGTGGTAGTAAGTTAGCCGCCTCGTTCCCAATGGCAATATGCTTGGTCCTGCATGCAGGTGCTGCTGATCGAAGTCAACACTGTACCTGGGATGACTCCATCCACCGTGCTGATCCACCAAGTAAGCTAAGGGCTAGCTCTGGCTGGCTCACAGAAAAACTGCATTATCTGCCCATTGTTGTTGTTGCTGTGGCAGCAGCAGCACTTGAACGGGAAAAAAAAACTTACATTATGATAATGTATGGTGGCAATGAATCGCAGGCACTCGCAGAGGAACCGCCCGTGTACCCCCACAAGTTTTTCCGCACTCTTCTGGATTTGGCGTTTGCAAGGGCGAAATAGCTCAGTCAGCCATTTATTTTACTTTTACCGCGCATCGGTTTGATTCTGTATCAGTAAACTTATTGTGAAGAGGTCCTGTTAGTGTTAGGTTGTTGTTTGAAACTGAAAGACTTGGTTATCTTTACTTCACGTTAGCGTTACTGAATTTACCGATACGCGCGAGCGCGATACACGTGTGGCAATGTAGTCCTATCAAAGGTGGTTGAGGTTCTTCAGTCAGTCTGTGGTATGAAAATCTTGTCAGTGATTGATAAGATGAAAATAAACCTGTAGCTGTAGTGTACATACAGAGTCAAAACAAACAAACGCATAGAGTATTAGAGTGGCTTGGTTAGCTCCTCTTGTGTTGCCATGTGTGCGGTCGTCCACAGAAGAGCAGGGCAGAAGCAACTCCCCACGCGCACGAGAAATCAAACCAACTCGCCAGCCCGGGCGTCCGGCCCACACAACTGCTGAGTGCTCAGTGCTGACCCAACCCAACAACCCCACCGGGGCCTGTGGGTCCAGCAAGCAACCGCTCAGGGCCTCAGCCTGTCAGACAGCAGCAATTCCTAGCCTGGAAACACGGCATGCTAAGGGCGTGTTTGGTACCCTGCCCCAGCGGCCTGGCTGCGCTCCCGAGCTGCAACTCCCGTCATTGGCCCACTCGTGAGCCTGGCCCGTTCGATGAAAAAAAAGGCCTTCTCTCTCCTGACTGTGGGGAAACTATGGATGAAAACGGACCGGATACGAACGGATATCACTCATATTATATTTATTTTCATATTTCTGTTCGAATTTGGATTCGGACACGGATAGCGTTTGGATACATATACGAATACGGATTGACTCGGTTACGGATACGAATAATGAGTATCGAATACGGTATGAATCGGATTCGGAGAAGGTCGGATACAAATATCTATTCGGATATTGAGTAAAAGCAGCATATATATATAATATATATATATATATATATATATATCCAAGTGGGAACTCATATATGGGCCAGCTAGCTTAGCTAGGGTTATAGAGGATTGGGCCGTTTGGGCAAGAAGTAATATTTTGGCCAAATTCCAAAAATCACAATTCGAGACAAAAAAAACAAAAAAAGCAAAAAATTATTGTTTGAGGCCCTAAACAAATTCAAATGAAAATGTTGCAATCAACAAAGTTTCATAACTTTTTGGGATCTAAAACTTTCATTTTGGTTGTTTTCCATCTGAGATTCCGAGATCATTTGAAAAATCCAAATTTTAAATTTGAGAAATTCAAACGTAGTTTTCCTTGACAAGATGATTTCAAATAAAAACGTTTTCAACTATAAAGTTTCATAAATTTCTGAGATCTACAACTTTTATTTTAGTCATTTGTTCATCCAACATAGTGGTAGTAACATTATTCACGAATCTCACACACCTCTCTTATAGTTTATGAAACTACTAGAGAGAGATGTAAATTTTGTGAATAATGTTACTACCACAATCTCGGATGAACAAATGATCAAAATAAAAGTTGTAGATCTTGATGAGTTTTACAACTTTTATGTTCATGACTTTTTCAGCTGAAGTCATTTATTGTTTGAAAATGACATTTGAAGTTGCTATTTTTTAAAATTCAAAATTCAAATAGATAGAATACAGTCACATGAAAAGATGAACACAATAATAGCTATAAGAAGACAATAAATTGATAGAACATGACTTTAGAAAATTTTAGAAAAAAAAAATTATCAAATTTGAAGTTAGTACGAGGGAGAAAACCTAGTTACAAGTTTTAGTCAAAGATTAAAAAGAGAAATATGCGTTCTTTAACCATTTCGAAATTAAAATTCAAATAGCATTTTGAAGCACTAAATGATTTCAAATGAAAAAGTTGTAAACAACAAAGTTTCATAACTTTTTGAGATCTACAATTTTTATTTTGATCATTTCTCCATCCAAGGTCGTTTGAATAATATCCGGATAATATCTGTCGGATACCAGAAAATGGGGTACCCCAAGCAAAGATCGAAAAACTGCTTAGACCCTAAGAACAGAACCAATGGAATAAACAAACCAGGTCTCGGCCAAAATCTCCGATTCGCCCGAAACCCCGTCGCCGAGCCCCAGCTGAAGCGAACGATTCTCCGACTCGCCCGAGACCGCCTCGCCGAGGCCCCCTCGCCGGGGGCCTCGGAAGAAATGCCGATTCTCCGATTCGCGCGAGGCCGGCTCGGCACCAACCCCGTGACCGCCTCTTCGACCAAACTGCTCTGACCGAACGTCGCATCCAAGCGCCCAACCACTCCGACAGACGCACGATGGCACAGATGCAAATAAGTGACCGACTACACGCCGATCGCGTCAACCTCCTCGCCATCTGCGACAGCACAGAGAGCGAGGGGTTACCACCATCGTCTTTGCCTAACTCCCGCACCAAGGACATCGCAATGTGGGAGTCGAAGCGGGTTCTGTAGCCTCGAATCGGCCGGACCGACCGCTCCGTCTCGCCCGAGCCCCTCGGCAGGCCTCGGATTCACCGATCTTACTCGCCTCGCTCGTCGTCCGCCTCGCCGAGACCCCCGGTAGGGCCTCGGACAATTGGTCAGACTCCGCCCGAGGCCGGGCAAATCCCGCAACCTCGTCGCCTCCGCCTCAAAGGTCTCTGGCGGCAGTCGTCAGATCCGATTAATGCGCGCCGGTTTGCACCCGCTATGTAAGCCACGATCGGTAGTGCATCGCAACAGAGCGACGGGACAACGGTCGATCACCTTTTTACCATCCCTACTCGACAACACAGTATCAGATCCCGTAGGCGCGACGTCTCGACTTTATTTCCGCTGATGGCCGCCGAGACCCACATCCGCACTGGTCACTTCAGGGCCTCGGCATGGCGTGCCTCGCACTGTGAGCCTCAGACGACCGGCTATGATGGCCGCCGAGCCTCGCAATCCACCAAGCCAATAAATGTGCAAAGCATGTTACTTGCGGTGGAGACCATACCGATTAGACATCTACAGAACTCCCACAACAACGCCATCTTTGCTCCGAGAGTAAATACGTCATCGAATAGTCCGCTCCACGTGTAGCTCTCTTATGTACTCCTGGTTTCCTCCCTGCGGCTATAAAAGGAGGCGGCCAGGACCGTTTCTAGGGACGGCGGATAGAGTCACGGATACTCGCACGAACAACACGCCTCATTCTGTAATTCATATCACCTCCCCTCACAGAGACCTGGGACGAACTCCCTCTCTCGCCTAGCTTGTAACCCCCTACTACGAGCACCCCGGTGCAAGGAATACAAGAACATCTTCTCAGACTGGATGTAGGGCATCCATTGCCCGAACCAGTATAAACCTTGTGTCTCTTTACATCACCATCCAAAATTGGGAGCACGCAGCATAAATTCACTAGTCGGTTAAGGACCCCCGGTTCTGAAATGCCGACAGTTGGCGCGCTAGGTAGGGGCCTCTGCGTGTCAGCTTAGTCATCCCACCTGGTTCCGGATGGCAGATCCCGTGCGATCGTTGCATCTCGGGACGATCGTCTGGTTCGGGAGCCTAGAATTCATGTCTCTAGGGCACGAGTACGACATGGTACTCCTCTCACCTAGAGCGCCATCAACCGACGACGACGTCATGCACCGGCAGCCCACGCGCGGACGGCGCCCGGGCCACCACTCCCATCAAGCTCGCCAAGCGCCGCGTGGGTGAGTCCACCCTAACACCGCGCAAGTACAGAACGCCGATCTGTGCTCCACCGGAATCCCATACCCCGCTGGCGCACGAGTCCTCAGACGGGGACTGTCCGCTTAAGCCTCGGCAGGGAAAAGGGCGGTGGCGCAAATGATGCGATGCCCCATCATCAAGCTCATCCCGCCTCCTCCCGAGAGCCAGCTCTGGCGGAGCCAAGCCTGGCGACGACGCCATCCCCGTACCCTTTCGGGCTGACCAATGTCGCCGCCTCCTACGCCACCGCCCTCGTCTCCATTCATCAACGTCATGCCCATAACCCCATAGTCACAACTCCAATCCACCCCACTCGACTCCTCGGAGGAGGATGAGGCGTGGGTTGGAGCGAACATTTCTCCGGATTCGTGACCACGAGGCGATGCGCGCCGCTTCATGATCGCGAAGCGACTCATCGCCCGGCTACTCGATTACGACGACGAGGACGCTTACGACCCGACTCGTGAGTGTTTCCACATCAGACTCGGAATGCCGAAAGCACGGCAACGATGGAGGAAGGGCGCCAATGCCACACCACCACACACGGGTCCCGCCAACAAGCGGCAGTGTGTCCCCACCCCGAGCAACTTCGACGATAGACCTAGAGCAGCTCCGTGAGCTTCAAACCAAGGTCGAGCAAGATCGACTCCTCTGCAGCAGCCCGAGCCACCCTCGAGCAAAGAGCTGGGCGCGGCGATGGCGGAACAGCCCGGCTGGGGGCTCGCGACGTCAACCGCCGCATTAACGATGATGAGGGGGGCGAGCAACCCCCTGTCTTCAATCGCGCTAGCCAGAACGTCGCTACGGCGGCGATACTAGTCCGAGCGATGCCTGAGCCCTCTACCATGGAGGGGCGACGGGTCCACGGCGAACTCTGGGGCCTTCTCGAGACTGCCGCGGTGCAGCAGGCCGAAAGCTCCGCGTCTCGACGACGCGGGGACGCCTCGAAACAGCCCTCGGTGCATGACCGCCTCAGGCCCCCCTCGGTGCACGACCGCCTCAGGGCCCCCTCAGTGCACGACCGCCTCGACGACCAACGCGAGGCACAAAACGGCCACCACGTGGGCAGCAGACGACGGCGCCACGACCACGATGGGGCCGCCCGGGGCTACCAATTACACCGAGGCGGTCGCTATGATAGTGGGGAGGACCGCAGTCCTTCTCCCGAGCCGCCTGGCCCTAGAGTTTTCAGTAAGGCCATCCGCAGCGCCCGCTTCCTGGCCTGGTTTCGTCAGCCAGTGAATCTCTCAAAGTACAGCGGCGAGACCAACCCCGAGCTATGGTTGGCCGACTACCGTCTGGCTTGTCAGCT